TGGGAGGAGGGTAGAGAGAATAGTGCAACAATGAATGAATGGAAACCCAAAATCTCTGTAAATGTTCATTAAAACTAATAAAATTTAATAACAATTAAAAAAAACTGGGAAGATTAGAAACATCTCCAAACAAAGTCACTTGGAAAATGTGGTGTCTCTTCCTAAACCTGGAAGTCCTATGTGATTTTGTTATTAGTGTTGTTTACCATTGAGTCAGAACCAACTCACAGCTGGGTTTTCAGAGGCAGAAAACCCTGCATGATAGAGCCTCTCAATCTCTCTTGCGTCACACTCTCCAATCACTACGGGACAGTCATTGGGGTCATGGTCCCTGTGGCATGTGGTGAGAGGTTACTGTGTCCCCTTTGGAGCTGAGTCAACTACAATGCATTCTGACACTATGAACAACAGATCTGAACCTGCCCTATGCTGTGCCGTCCTCACCATCTATAATATGCTTGAACCCATTGTTACAGTCACTGTGTCAATCCATCTTGGTGAGGCTCTTCCTGTGTTTTGCGTTCCACCTTTCTCAGCATGATGATTTTTCCAAGGACAGGCCCCTCCTAACACCATGCCCAAATTATAAGATCCTTCAGCATCTTTGCCTCTAAGGAGCACTCTGGTTATACTCTCTCTAAGTCAAATTTGTTTAGGGTAGCCTAAATTCACGGCAGTTGCAGCTTTCTCTGAAGAAGCTGTTCCTGGTCACTTTGTCCCTACACACACACACACACACACACACACACACACACAGTCCTTTAATATGTGTTATCTTTGCATCCAACTTGTTTCTTGCCACAGTTTGCACTTGTCGTTCTTGTTGTTAGGTGCCGACAAGTCAAGTACGATTCATAGTGACCCTATGAACAACAGATCTGAACCCTGTCTAATCTGCAATTAGATTATTTATATTTGCTTATTCTGACCTGTTTCTCATCACTGTCATCTCCTTATGAATTATTGAGCAAATGTACTGAAAAAATGAGTTGATGAGATGTGGTCACAGAGGCAGGACATGGCTTTTAGAAACCACTTTATTGGGATAGGCTGCTCTCCCCATGCAGCCCACTCTCCTGTATACATAGTATACACAGCTAGGCAGCACCCACATTCTCCTGTGCTCTTGCAGTACTCCGAATGCAAAAAAAGGAAACAGGAGAGGAGAAGCAGAGGAACATCAACAGAGGACACTCCTGCACTGGGGGCGGGGGGGGGGTAGTCTCCTCCCACTGAGATGTACAGAGTCAGAAACCCAATAGAGGGTCACTATGGGTCAGAATTCACTCAATGGCAATGAGTTTGGTTTTTCCCAGGCTGGGAGCACTAGTGTCCTTTATCCCATCCTCAGCTTCTCTCAGGCCCCCTTTGGCACAGTCCAGGGAATTTGGATCAAGCTCCTCCAATCAGTGCACATGTGGGATGGGCAAAGCAGGCTGGGAATCTTGACCCACACCCTCCTGAGGAAGTTGCTGGAACCTGCTCACTGTCCCTCTCCTACTGTACCACCCTAATTTTTTATTCCACCACCAGAAACCCAGCTCTGCTTGGTCCTGGAGAAGATGATTGGATCACTGAAACATCCAAAGATACAACAAAGCTCCCAAGTTGTCTTGATCACAGTTCTTTTAAAAAGAGGAAGTCATCATAGGAAAATGTACTGGGGTCTGGCTGTTGTCAAGAACATGGCTGGCCGTTATTCCCTGGGATAACTTGCTCCCTAGAGACTCCCCACCAGCCCAACTGAGGCATGTCCCTCACCCACCCTCCCTGACTGTTCTGTGAAGTTTCTCACTACCCTTTCCTCTCCCAGAGGGGATATTGATGCTGTTGGTACCAAGGACCCAGCACTGTGCTGGTGGCCTGAGTCCTTTTGCCTCTCAAGTCCTGCAGCATTCACTCATGGCCATAGGAGGACCCCCAACACCTCCTGACTGCCTTGGTTTTGTTCCATAAGGGTGATCTCAGCCTTCCCTAAGGGCCTTTCACCCCTGCCCTCCTGTGGGAGCACTCTCCTAGGACTCCAGACCATGGAGAAGGGACAAAAGCAGTCCCTAAGGCTGAGTTGGTTAGCTGGTGAGCTGGTTTCTTCTGACTAGTAAGAAAAGTAAAAGAAAATGCTTCAACCTCATTTCCCAAGAAAGTTTGTTTTTATCTCCTGTCATTGTAGCTCTCCATTGAGGTGCTAGGTACACCACCACCACCCACCGAAGATAATCCAGCCTACACTCAGAAACAAAACATCTCCCATGTGCGCTAAAGCATCTTCGTGAAATACTCCACTTGACCAAATAGTCTCTAGCCTGGAAATATTCTCCCCATGTGGAGCTCTAGGAAATGCCTTGATTTCTGTGTCCTTACTATATCCCTAAATTAGTTAGGATTCTAGCAGTTTCCGGTGGTTGACTACCAAGAGCCCCAGGTCAGGCTATTTATCCTTAATGCCCCACAAACCTCCACCAAGGAACACGGAGAGAAGGAGTTTGTCTCTGGTATGACCTCCAGGCACTGTGGATGGCAGCAAAGCAGACACTGGGCACCCTCTCTGTGCTGTCAAGCTCAGTCTATACAGCAGGACATGTGGTCCAGCAGAAGCACCAGGTCACTGCTGCCCTTGGGAGGGATTGGGTTCAGCTCCCAGAGAGGATAACCTGAGGTAGCAAACAGTGGCCTCTGTTTTCCAAATGGAGTTCAGGCCTGGGGCTATAGGGTAAAGCGACCAGAACCAAACTGCCCTCTGCCTCTGGGATAAAGAAAGGTTTGAAAGCACGTGGGCATTCAGCACCTGCCCTCCTGGGTCTCTCACTTGTCCCCCTCCTTGTTCATGGGTGTAGGTGAGGGTCTGAGAGCACGTGGGCATTCAGCACCTGCCCTCCTGGGTCCCTCAACTTGTACCCCTCCTTGTTCATGGGTGCAGGTGGTGGGCACTTTGAAGGTTCTCAGAGGGAAGTTGAGTCTTAAACATGTTCTGTGGAGGAAGAGGCCACCACAGCTGGAATCTGTTCATTTGGTGACACCATCTACAGACATCCCGGAGTCAGGTGTGGTGTCTGTGGAGTGCCACAGCCAGGCCCGAGGCCCACACAGCTAACTAACTCCACCCAGGCCAGTGACAGCAGGCCTGCAGGATCCCTCAGGCAAAGAATTCACCGTCCCTTTAAGTTCCAGTACCATATCTCAGTGTCCTGAGCCTTCCTACAGAAGACCTCAGGGTCCCCATAGATGCTCTATCTCTGCCTCTGTTGCCCAGTGATATCAAGAACACCCACATTAAAGTTCCTTGACTCATCCTGACATCCTGACAGAAGAATGGTAGTTCTCTGATGGAGGCAGAGTAGAAAGCCTCAGGACCCACTCTACATGCATACCTCTTCTTCCCAAGTGGTAGTGGCCATTTCATACCAATTCTACCCTAATGTGACTCTCCCCTCCAGCCAGCTTCCTCTCCCTCCAGCCAGCTCTCATTCCCGTGTCCATCAGGAAAGAGAAGTGGGCTGAAAGCACCATAAAAACCTGTCTTGCTCAGAGATGACCTAAAGGCCTCTGGGCCACCTGAGGGTACCAAGCTGCTGGGCCATGGCTCTTCCAGCAGCTTGAGGCCTCCCTTTAGGAGGGCCATGGTCCCTGAAATTCTGCCTAGAAGGTGCCTGTTCGCCAAGCCCCTCTAAATATGGGCCCCAATGACTGTACCCAGCCCACACACCTCTTGTCTCCCTCCCACACAATGGGCACTGGAGAAGAGGCATGAGGTAGACTGAAGTCAACAGCCCCCTGCCCAGGAAAAGGAAGAAGTGAGAACCCTCTCACCCTGGTCCGTATCTCTGGCCCTGGATATGGGTAACTTCTGGATGGGCCCTGGTTATGGCCCACTACCCACCTTCCAGCCGACCAAATGCTGGCAGCACTCGCAGGGCAGAGAGTGAGAGGAGAAAGGGGGCAGTCCTTTTCAGCAGGGCCTCAAGATGCAGAAGTCCAGCTCCTGAGGCTTCCGGTGCAGGCTGCACTGGTGCCGGGCCAGCAGCTGTCCTGCTGGCCCCATACATTTAAGTGGACGTCTCTTAAACCCTCGGCCACAGCTCTTGGAACAAGGAGACCAGGTCCCAATCTCCCAGGCTGGGCAGGGCTCCCCACAGGCCTGTGTCTCCATTGGCTGATGGGTCACATCACAGGCAGAGCGTGAGAGCTGCCCCAGGGAGTTCTGGCAGTCCACCAGCCGGGTCTGCAGGCCCCTACCACAGCTCACAGAGCAAGGACCCCAGCTGCCTGCCACCCAGCGAGCAGGGATCCCCCCATCCAGCTGCTCCACCTGGTTGGAGAGGCTCTGCACACTATTGTGCAGCACAGAGGCGCCCCGATGGTCCTTGTGGTTAGCAGACTTGTCCTCTCGAGGCTCTTTAGGCAGGTAGAAGGAATAGCGAACCCGGGGCGGTGTCATCTTCCCCACAGACAGGACCTCCACAGTCAGCGGCTCTAGGATGGGCCGGGAAGCCTGCAGGCTTTCCACTGCAGTCTCTGTGCCGCTGTAGCGGAGCAGGCTACCTTTCACCACCAGGTCCCGCTCCACAGCTGACACCACGAAGTGTCCATTGAGCAGGTACTTGCCTTGGCTGTTCTTCAGGGCCAAGTAGTTGTCATCCCCAATTAAGCCCTTGTAGCCTCGCTGACGAATGTCAATGTTTGAGGCTCCGGCCGGAATGGCCACCACAAAGTTGTAGCCATGCCTGGAGTTGGGAAAAAGACAGAGGGTGGTTGGAGGTGTTAGGCAGACACCTGGATATGGGGCATTCCCTTTAGTCATAGCCAGCTATGGCAGAAGCCCGGGAGCTGCAGCCAAGAAGACAGAGCACAGATGAGCCAGGCCCTCGTGCTATGTCAGCTCCTACAAAGCCCAGCAGTACAAGGCCAGGCTACCTGGGAGCATCAGACAGTCAAAAATGAAGGTCAAAAATGGTCCAGAACATTATCTCTCAGGGGAACTCCAGCATGGAATGAAAGCTCACATTTCAGAATCAGATTTCTACCATTTGCTGGCGGTTGGCCTTAAATGAGTTTCTTCTCTTGGCTTCCATTCCTTACTCACAAAATAGAGACTGATAATGAAGATTAAGTAAGCTGGAACACAGACCATCTAGCATCCAACAAGGCTCGTAGTGGTAAGGAGGAGGAGGAAAGAAGATAAAATAAATCCACAGATCCTGGGTCCAGAGCTAGGAAACTTGCTGCAGTGAGCTAGCAGTGAATGTGGCATTGAGAACCGAGACTTATCGGGGGCTCAGGCCAACTCACTGTCTCTAGGTCTTGGGGTCCTCACCTGCATAGTGAGTAAGACCGCATGATTTCTAAGATGCTTTTCATTGTGAGAATGGAATATGTACCACTTATTCAGTGACACTGAACTGGAGGCATTTACTTGAAATTTCCCACCTCAACACTCCACTCTGTTCCTCATAAATGAACATTGTAGAATCATAACCCGCCCCCTCCCCAGTACAATGAAGCATTCAGCAGGGGAGAGCACCTCCAGGAGTGAAAGCTGAGGTTCCAAGATGACTGTTCAGGCCTCCACAGCATCAGCATCTAGAGTCCTCAAGTTCTTCAAGGGAACTATAAACTCTCTGAAAATGAGACCTCAGGAGGCTCTGACTATGCCTGCTTTCTCCAGAAAATGAATCAGGACTTACAAAGGAGTGTAGCCTTGTGGCAGGAAAAGGTGGTATCTCAACAATGGAAAACTCAGGCTAGGGAGCATCTGGCGCAGAGAGGCCCAGAAATGGCCCTTCACCTGAATATCAGTGTGTGTCCCAAAGGAAGGAACTCATACAACCCTCACCACTCACACTGCCCTCTCTCCTCAACCCAAACCCCAAAGTCAGGGCCACAGGCCTAGAAAGAGGGTGGAGACTCTTTAACATTTACTGAGAGTTCACTGTGCACCAAGCACAATGCAAAACATGTTACTAATTTTAACTTACTTCATCCTCACAACAGTTCATACAAAATATCAAGGCCACTTTACAAGTGAGGAAATATAAAATTGCAGGCAATGTATCACTTGCTCAAGATCTTCCAGAAAATGGCAGATTAAGATTTGAACTCAGAGCTGTTTAACACTTGAAATCTAGATACTCTGCAGCATTCTTCACAAGCAACCAAAAAAATCTCCCTGACTATCGTCTGCTGAGTGGTGCTTACCCTGAACACTCATCTATGCATCTGCCTTTTCTGAATGAACCAATAAGAGGAAGGAATACACATAAGCCCCAGAAAAAAAAAGTGGCTTCCACAGCAAGGGCAGGCCAGGATCTGGCATCAATCAAACCTCACTCAAACTCCCAAGTCCTGGAAGGATTCTCCCCCCTTCCCCCTCCCCCAAGGTTTCTTGCCTGCCCTTCTGGGGATAAGGACTTACATGGGCTTGGTGAAGAGGCCTGTCACCTTCTTGCAGCTCTTGTTGTCCCCACCACACACTCCACATTTGTCAAACTTCTTCTTGGAGCCTAGATTCCCGTCACAGCCAGCCTTGATACACTTGCCTTGGACGCAGACAGAGGTAGAGTCAAGAGTACATGGAGTGCCATCAACTACCTACAGTGCAGGGTGAAGGAAGAGGGGGCTCAGATGGGGGCTTCCCCAGGGCCCCGTCCCTCCCTGTCTCCTGTCCAGATACTCACCTTGGGAGCTAACACATAGAAGTAGCCAGTGCCATTGGCTCTGCAGATAAGCTTGCATTTGTCCCTGGGTGACACACCTGAGTACTTAGGCACCCAGGCCACAGCCAGGGTGAGTCGGTTGGTACTGTGGTTGTAGCCATTGAAAGCTTCACACTGTTCCTCCCGAAAACTCTTTCCAGGGGCTGGACAAGGAATCACACAGAAGAAGCTGGAGGGAGGGGCTGGGGAGGTGCCAAGGTCAAGGGAGAATATCCCTCCCTGGGTGCCAGCTTCCCAAGGCTCATCCTTGTGACCTTTCTTACAGAAGCCACATCTTCCTACCTCCAAGGACTAAAGCAAGTTTCCCCCAAAGCATCCATATTCAGTGATAGGGCAATGCTAAGCAAGCGCCATCATCCCAGCAATTCGTCCTTAAACTCTCTGTGACTCTTTATGCTATGGATTTCCATGGTAGTCTCTACTTTTATAATAATGTCATCAAATGCATAAAATAATCCACCAAAGAGTATAAAGAATAGTAATCCTATTAATACACAGCTATCACAATATTGAGATCTCATATGCAATGTATTGGACTTCTTTTATAATGGACTAAATAGCAAGATACTCTAATGAGTGATAACTGTTGGAACCCTGAAGTTGTGAAGAGGACAGATACATTATGAGATTCGTGCAACAATTGAAATGTAATATAAAAATAGCCATGATTTCTATGAGTGACAAAGTTACAGATGGTGCTACTATCGCTTTAGCCAGTTGTATCCACTTCTACTTTAAGGAAATACTAAAACCTAGGTTAAAGGGTTAGTAAAATGTGAGATATCTTTCTCTCCCACTAGAGTTCACAGGCTCTGAATTACAAATCCCTGCATACCAAGATGGGCTTGTCAATACTTAACAGAGGAGGTGCTTAAGTCTTGTGCTTTAAATCATTCAGACTCTAGTCTGACTATGCAGAAGAAAGCACCTTGACAAAGGTGAGCTGAGGGAGGAACAATCCTGGGAACTCTCGGCAGCACTGCCTCTTCAGTTTTTGCCCAAGACATCGAAACTGGCTGCAGACACTTAGTGAACATACAAGGTGCAGTGGGGAAGGGTGTCCCATCTCTGGTCTCACCTCCCAGAACCCAGGGCACTGCTCTGCTGTTCTCCTCACCTGAGCTGGGGCATGGCTCCAGGCTACATGACCGGTACTTGACTCGTACCCCCTCGCAGTACTTGCCCCCGCTGGCAGGGGCTGGGTTGCTGCATTGCCGCCGAGCTAGCTGCACACCTCCTCCACATGTCCTGGAGCAGGGGCCATAAGGCTCCCATTTGGCCCAGAAGCCATCCACCTAAGAGATAAGGGTCAGTTACACTCCTGGAGCATTCCTAGGCCAGCACTAGTGCCCTTAACCTACAGAAAAGGCACACCGGCCTGGTCGCCACAAATCAAAGATCCCCACTGCACTGGAATAAAATTCATTTAACACCATGAGGGGGGCACTGATAAGTGCATAGAGCCCACACAGCATTCCCACCTCTTGATTAACAGACACAACTTCTCCTCATTAGAGAAGTGAGCTTTGGTGGCCTAGTGGTAAAGAGCTGCACTGTCAATCAAAAGGCAGCAGTTCAAATTCACCAGCCGTTCCATGGGAGAAGAATAGATCTGAAAACCTCCTGGAGGGTCAGCAATAACTCGGTTCCAACTCGATGGCACACACAACCGTTAGAGAGGAGGCAGCTCAGGAAACACAGAAGACACTTCATTGGACTATGGAGTCAGGTTGGCAAGTTTTACTATCAGCCCTGCCTTTGACAAGTAGGCACTTTTGAACAAGGCATTAAGCCTCTTGATTTTCAAGTGCTTCATCTGAAAAAAGCAGAGCTAACAATATTCAAGTCTGAAGTTGATGTAACATGTCTGAAAATTCCTAGCACACAGAGCAGGACTTTCAAGTTATCTTTATTTATTTGTTAGTGTTTTTTCAAGAGTTTCTAAATTAAAGGTAGGGCTAACTCCCATCCTTTCCAATAAGCTATACAATCCATAAAAAGAGAAGAAGAAAAGGGGAAAAGCTGCTTTTTCCCCCTTCTGACTGAGGACAAACACATGTGTGACAGCACAGAATGGTCCCACAGGGTCTTCTCAGTTGCCAGCATTTTGCCTGGGTGGGTTTGAATTGGCATGTAACAACAGATCCATGTGTGTTACCCAGGATCTCAGGTAACAATGGATGTCTGAACTGGATGTTTTTATTTGTAAATATTTGATCAGTCAGACTTTTCACCAAAATGATCTTAACATCAATCAATACCTGTATTTGAGAGTTTTACTATAAATGACCCTAATGTTTGTGTAAGAGGAGAGTTAGATTATTAAGCAATCCTAAAACTTTCTGACTTTAAGGTGAACTATGCAATGCTGGTTTGTTGGGTTTCTAAGAGGGTGGTTGAGAATTTATAATCTTCATTACACTTTTCTTAGAATGATAGCAAAGTGAGTTTCTTTCCCTTAACACACATCAGTTGGGCAATAGAGGAAGTAGCCTAGCTATCGAGTGCTAGGATTTAAAGTCAGTCACAGCAATTCATAAAGCAAATTACATGAAGCCGGTCAGGAACTGACTTCACACCACATAAATACTTCACTTGTGTGTCTATTCAGTGTATTTATTCTATCTGTTCTCATGTTGAATCATTTTTGCTTCATTATGGCATGTTAGTGGAATACTTTAAGAAAGACTTTTCCTCAGCATTGCTTTTTCCTCAGATTAGAGACCTAGTTCATTCTGATGTAGATTCATCAGATATACATTTGCTCTTCATGCCTCAATTCCTTGCAATAAGGGTTTTGTCCCCATTACATTCTGGAATCGTTCCCATGTAGTAGTCAGTGATTTTTCTATCCAAGGACTGAACCCATCTGGAGTTGGGCAGCCCTTACAGCATTTGTCTTCAGTATTTAACACAGGGACTGAGACTTCTGCAGGTTATTTTACCTCAGGGTCACTTCTCATTCATTCCACAAATGTTCAATGAGCTCCTCCTATGAGACAAGCACCCATTCACTCCATGAACATTTGTTGAGTTCCTACTGTAGGGCAAGCACCATTAAAGCAAGTCTTCACCCTCACTACATCCTCACTACATCGCCCTCACTCTGCCCTCGACTCCATCCTAGTGGGGAAAGGCACATTATCAGAACAAGCCAGAGCTTGGACAGAGGCTGCAATGAGGGTGGGCTACTCTGTAGTGTAGGGTCAGGAAGTCCACTCACCAAGGCTGAGGGGACACTAGAGCATAGCCTAAAGCCTAAATGGAGGACAGCAGGTAGCCATGCAGATATGAGGGGGAAGATCTTAAGCAGAGGTAATGGAGGAAACTAGAGCAAAGGCCTGAGAGGTCATGGTTGGGATTTCCAGCGTTGCAGGAGTACAGCAATCAAAAGAGACCCTGGGGTAGGTGTAGGCATCACTTAAGGTGAGATGTAAATTCCAGAGGAATGCCACGCACAATGCTGGCATGATCTCATGTGCATTTAAGAGGACCCCTTGGAAACAAGTGGTAGTGATGATGGTTGACAGCATAAGTGATGCATTTGGTGCCCTTGCACTATATATGTGGAAAAAGGTTGGACTGGCAAATGTTATCTTTAGTTTTACTCTAACTTTTCAAAAGGAGGTTCACCTTGCCTCTTTGTTAGGAAGAGTTTATAAATAATAATATTAAAAGTAAAGAAACCAGTAAAGGAGAAATTAGAATAATCCACAAGAGAGAGTGGTGGCATCAGACAGACACATATATAGGTCAAACACAGTAGAAGTGATGAGAAGCAGATTCTATATATATTTTGAAGACAGCATCAAGAGGAATTGCTGGTGCATCAGATATGGAATGTGAGAGAAAAGTACTGTTTACTGAACACCTGGAAAAGAGCTGTCATTGAGCAATACTGAAAAAGAGGCTGGTTCCAATTAGATGATAAAAGATCTGCTTCCCAAGCTGTTCTAGTTAAGAATTTATTAGATATCCAAATCGATGTCAATATGGAGTTAGACACACAACTGTAAATATAAATTGAGTCCTCAGAATATAATTGGGATCTAAAGAGGTTGAGTGTAAGTAGGGAAGAGGTCCAAGGACTGTGCCATGGAGCATGCTGGACATTAGAAAATGAAGGTATGACCCAGCCGCTCCCATCCCCTCTTCCTTCAAATCACAGGTACAGAACTATAGCTCCCAGAGGTCTGTGGGGAAACACCATCTTTAAAAACTTGAATTTTGGTGGGAAAGCTGCGAGGACAGTCGAGGGAGGGCCAGGCTGGGGCTGCGATCCAGCCGCCCGCATCCCCTCTTCCTTCAAATCTCAGGTTCTCCGAACCCCTCCCATTGTGTATCACTGTGTGCTTCTTCCCTCCCCACTCACATTAGCGTTGGAGTGTGCATGCACCCTACATGCATCTGCTTTTGTTCCTGCCCAACCTTCTCCTGGAGCAGTGACGTCAAATAAAAAACCAGCTACCACCTCAGACACAAAAAACTCTACCACATCAATGGCCTGTAGAAAGCAGGGTGCTTCACTTGTCCCACAAGCCCAAAGCAAGATATCACCCCCCAAAGAAGACACAGTAGCAATGGATTTCCTGAATCCAGAAAGCCTGATGGAACTTTCTGACACAGAATTTAAGAGAGCAATGATTGAATATTTTCAATGGATGAAAAAGAAACTTGGTGAATTACAGGACAGTGCTAGCAAAAATCAAGAGAAGCTTAAAAAAAAACCCAAAACAATGCAGAGAAAACAAATGAGGCATTAGAGGCACTGGAAAAAAACAAGAAACCATGATCCAAAATATGATATCTAAGGTCTCTGATGCTGTCAACATGATGGAGGGACATACGAATAGAGGTGAAGAAATGGAAAACAGAATCAGTGAAACAGAAGATAGAATTGTCACCACAGATCTGATTGAGAAAAAAAGCAGAATCAAAAAAGAAGAAAACTTAACAATAATGTGGGATACCATTAAAAGAAATAACATCTGCATCACTGGAATCCCAGAAAGGGAAGAAGCAAGTAAAGGCACTGAAAAAGTTGTGGACGAATTACTAGAGGAAAACGTTCCAGGCATAATGAAGAATGACAGAATATATCTTCAAGAAGCTGAGCGAACGCCATATAGAATAGACCCTAAAAGAAAAACACCAAGGCATATCATTGTCAAATTTGCTAGAACCAAAGATAAGGAGAGAATACTAAAAGCAACGAGAGAGAAACAAAGAGTAACCTATAAGGGAGAACAGGTAAGATTAAGTGCTGATTTCTCCACAGAAACCATGCAAGCAAGAAGACAATGGAATGACATATATCAAACAATTAAAGAACACAACTTTCAACCAAGAATACCGTACCCTGCAAAACTGTCCATCAAGTAAGAAGCAGAGCTACAGAACCTAAAGGAGTTCGTAAAAACAAGACCAACCTTACAGGAAACACTGAGAGACGTCCTTCATACAGAGATGCCACAAAAAACAGGATAGACCAAAGTAACTAGCAACAACACCAAAAAGAATTTAACAAAATGACAGCAATAAAACCCTACCTCTCAATAATTAGACCGAATGGGAATGGTTTAAAAGCACCACTGAAGAGAAAAAGAGTAGCAGATTGGATAAAAAAATAAAACCCATCAATATGTTGCCTACAAGAGACACATCTGAAAAATGAAGATAAAGAAAGATTCAAAATAAAAAAATGGGGAAAAATATACCAAGCAAATGGCAACCAAAAAAAAGCAGGAGTAGTGATACTAATCTCTGATAAAATAAATTTCAATGCAAAAACAAAGGACGAAAAAGGTCAATACATAATGCTCAAAGGGTCAATAGAACAAGAGGATATAACAATATTGAATATCTATGCACCAAATGAAAGACCTGCAAAATATATAACACACATTAACAAAATTGAAAAAGGAGATAGACAACACTGCTATAGTATTTGGAGACTTCAATACACCCCTATCAAGAAAAGACAGAACTACCAAAAAGTATTTATCTCAACAAAGATACTCAAGAATTAAACCACACAATTAACCAACTCGATCTCAAAGATATTTATAGGCTAATGCACCCAAAAAACCACAATATAACTTCTTTTCCAATGTGCATGGAACGTTCTCCAGAAGAGATCACATTCTAGGTCACAAAGCAAGCATAAACAAATTCAAAAACATAGAAATTATACAAAGTATCTTTTCAGATCACAACACCACAAAATTAGAAATTAATAACAAGAGAATAAAGGAGAAAAAAACATACATTTGGAAGCTAGACAACAACTTGCTTG